AGAAAAACAAAAAAGAGAAAACCCCCCCCCCCCCCCAAGGATGACCACACCACAATCCCTTCTCCTCCATTCTCCTCTTGGGATCTTAGGCACATACACACACATGCACCCGGCGTGAGTTTAAGCCACCAGGTCTGGGACTGGAACCGTAGTCGACTACATGGGAGTCCAGCAGCATACCTATTATGCCAATTGCTGGTCTCCAAATCTGATTTTCTGTTGGTTTTCCAACTCAGTGAAAGGTTGCATTACTTACTTCAGTCTGATACATACCTTGGAGACTTAGGAGTTTCTTGGTAACCCTTTTTTTCCCTTATATGCTCCACCTCCCCCCATTTCCAGTCCACTAACCAGCCTCTTTGTAGTGGTTATGAGTGGTCTAGTGGTCAGGCTTCCTAGGCTGAATCTTGGCTCCACTAGCTACATAACTTTGGGGAAGATACTTGAGCTCACTAAGCCTTAGTTTCTTATAAAAAGGGGCTAGCAATAGTACCCATTTCATGGGATTGTTTTGAGCATGAAGAAAAAGCCAGAGAAAGGATATAACGCAGTGTTTTTCTGGTAGTATTTAATACATGTTAGCGATTACTAGCACTATTCACCTAGTTATAAGTTCTCATAACATCTCTGTCCCTCTCTTCTAGCCCTTGTCACAGACTCAAGTTTATATATTTTTTGCCTGATCCTTTTGGTATAGACCTGTTCTCTGCTACACTACCATATATCGCCCTAAGGGCAGGGACCATATTTTTTATTTATCTCTCATGAGATGATATCCCTAACACTTAGCAGAGTGCTAGCACTCCTTCAGTGATTTTATGTTGTATGTTGAATAAATGAACACTTGAGCTAGCTCCACTTTGCTTTGTGAGTTACATTTACTGGAGAGGGTTGTCTTTATTGCTTTATACTCATTCTTAAATGCTTCCACTAAACTGTAAGCAATTAGAGCTGGCCAAACCACTCTGGAAAGGAATTTTTGGCCTTGCTATGGTAGGAAGAAAAAGCAAAAACAAGCTATATAAGTTAAATTAGCATATTTCCCATTTGGCTTCTGATCTTTACAGTGTCAAGCTTACTACATAAGCAGATCTGGGAATCAGAGCTGAAAGGTGACTTTCATGATAAATTGGTTTTTGACTAAACAAAAATCTAAAATACTTGTTAGTTTTGTAAATGATTTCTACCTTTGATTGAAAAGAAAATAGAAATTCCTGGGACCAGCAATTAGCGTAATGGTCGACTGCAGTTCTAGTTCCAGACCCGGTGGCTTAAACTCATGCCAGGTGTGCGTGCGTGCCCAAGATCCCGAGAGGAGAATGGAGGAGAAGGGATTGCGGCGTGGCCATCCTCCCAGGGGGGTGATTTCTTGCTTTCTATCTCTCTGTCTCTCTCTGTCTTTCTGGCGAGCACATGCGCCCTGTAGCAAAATCCTCTCCAAAAAAAAGGCAAAAAAAAAAAAAAATAGAAATTCTTGTTTTCTAACTACATTGTGTTTTTTTTTGGAGAGATTTTTGCTTTAGGTCGCGTGTGCTCGCCAGATAGACAGAGAGAGACAGAGAGAAAGAAAGCGAAGAATCACCCCCTAGGGGGCGTGGCCACGCCACAATCCTTTATCCTCCGTTCTCCTCTCGGGATCTTGGGCACGCACGCACACACGCCCATTGTGAGTTTTAAGCCACTGGGTCCGGGACGTGAACTGCGGTTGACTACATGGGAGTTCAGCGACATAGCCATTACGCTACCTGCTGGTCCCTAACTACATTTTTTTTTTGAAAGAAAAAAAAAAACAAACGAGCTATGATTGAATCTTGTTACAGGAAGCTCCATATGACTTACAATCTCTCTAAAGAGAACTAAAAGGATGGAAATACATAACCCAAGGTATTGGATAGTACTAATTGGTGGGATGTATTTTCTGATTATGTAGTAGTATATCCTATGGTTTATCACACCTTTTATATTACCAGTGCTCAGAATTAAAAGGACAATTTAAAACTGATAGCTGCTTTCTACTTTAACATACGCTCTTCATTTACCAACACAGGATCAGAAAAACCAGGCTTTCAATAAATTTTTATTTTAATTTAAAATCGGAAGGCTTAATGCTTTGGGGTTATATAGTTACAGTGAGACATATATATTTAGTATTGGTCTTAGAAGTGTTCTGATTTTTTTTTTTAGGGGGAGAGAGTTTTTATTTTTCTTTTGCTATAGGGCATGTGTGCACTCCAGAAAGACAAAGAGAGAGAGAAAGCGAGAAATCACACACACACACACACACACCCATGGGGATGGCCACGCAGCAATCCCTTCTCCTGGGATCCTGGGCACGCATGCACATGCGCCCAGTGTGAGTTTAAGCCACCAAGTCCGGGTTTCAAACCGCAGTCCACTACATGGCAGTCCCAACGACATAGCCATTGTGCCAGCTGCTGGTCCCAAGAAGTGTTCTGATTTTCTTAAAGGAGGCAGGGGAAAGAATATGAAAAGAGATAAAAATGAATGGACCTTGTTAGGGACCTGACTCAATCAAACCCACCATTTTAAAAAAAAAAAAAAACACAAGGGATATTTGAACACTATTTGGCTAGTTAGGACTGGAACTCTTTTTTTTTTTTTAAAGGTGGGATATTATCTTTATATTTTTAATGGCACATGCTCTGTTTTTAATAGTACATACTGAAATGTTTGCAGATGAAATTAATTTCTGGACTGTAAAATAGTCTGTGATAAGGGGCAAACAGATAATAGAGTGGATAAGGTGCTGAATTTCCTACATAACCTACTGCAGTTCCAGTCCTGAACCTAGTAGCTTTATCTCATTAAACGTGTGTGTGTGTGTGTGTGTGTATGTGTGCATGTCCAAAACCCTACGAGGAGAGTGGAGGAGAAGGAATTGTGGTGAGGCCATTCTCCCCTTGGGGGGGCAGTGATTTGTCACTTTCCTTCTCTCTCTGTCTCTCTCCAGTGAGCACATATGCCCTATGACAGAAATCTTTAAAAAAAAAAAAATCCATTTAGGTATTGTTGAGGATGTTGGATAAAATGAAATTAGCTACATGTTGATAATGGTTGAAACCAAGGGATGAGTACATAGGATTTCACTGTACTATTCTTTTTTTGTACATGTTCTAAGTTTTACCTATTAAAAAAGAAAAGACATATTTATCCTTCTTGCAATAATACATTATACTACTAAAAGAAGAATACTTTTGATCATTCCCTTGCCAGATTTTTAGGAAAGGCTTTCTAATATTTCTTCATAATTTCTTAAAGATCCTTCTGAATTTTATTTTTGCATCCTCTGCTTTTGCTTTTCTACATTCATAGCTCCTTTTATTTCTCCATAGTCATTAAAATATAAAATGTTATTGGCTTTTAGGTTCTTATTCTTTGGTTTATCTTTTATATTTTTGTTATTAGTATTTCCCTTTCATATTCATGAGACCCAAAAATGAAGCAAAATCTTACTAATTCTAAGTACAGTGGGATGATTTTTCTGTTCTTCCCACACAGTAAAAACTTGTTATGCTTGCCTTATTTTCTAACAGCAGATGGTGAACTTTGACTTTTCCCATATTCTTCCCTTCATTTCTAATTCTGATGAATGTGCATGTTATGTGTCTGTTTTTGAGACACTCATTAGCCAAAGAGAAAGTTAAAGTATACCTTATGTATAAGATAAACAAATGTTGAACCGGCAGGTGGTGTGGTGGATAAGGGCACTTGATTCCCACATGGTGGACTGTGATTCAGGTCCTGGACCTGGCAGCCTGCTTTCTTTCTTTTTCTTTTGGAGAGGTTTTTGCTATAGGGCACGTGCGGTCGCCAGACAGACAGAGACAGACAGAAAGCGAGAAATCACCCCCCAGGGGGGATGGCCACGCCGCAATCCCTTCTCTATTCTCCTCTCAGGATCTTGGGCACGCATGCACATGCGACCTGTGTGAGTTTAAGCCACCGGGTCCGGGACTCAAACCGCGGTCGATTACATGAGAGTCCAGCGACATAGCCATTACGCTAACTGCTGGTCCCTGGCAGCCTGCTTTCTCACTTTCCCTCTCTCTCTCTCTGGTCAAATGTAAAAATAGTAATAACAAGTGGAATTAAATAAATAATTTTTCTTTTTTAAAGATGAGCACATGTGTATGTTTAAGTCGTGCAGGTCTAAAAAGTTGGTAGATTTAAAAGCTTTTTTAAGTGTTCAAGCCTTCCACTCTAATGCTTTCACATAATAGAATTTGTAGATGCCAGTGTATCTTTTCCAAAGGTATTTGGTTTGATAACTAACATGCACATATATTGAAGTCATGACACTTTTATATGTGACATTTTTTTCTTTTATAGAGCGAGTCTTTGGTGGTTTGTGATGTTGCTGAAGATTTAGTGGAAAAGCTGAGAAAATTTCGTTTTCGCAAAGAAACAAATAATGCTGCCATTATAAGTAAGCTGAAAGTGATTGCCTCAAAGTTATGTGCTCTTAGTTTGTTTTTATCTGATAGCTGCATTGAATAAACCTCTAGAAAGTAAAAATAGGAGTCCTGTGTTATTCCCTCCTACTGCCACCTATAGATCACTTTAAATAAATAACAGCTAACTCTTATGTAAAAGAGCTAAGCTGGAGCATCCTACCTCCCTGTATTCTTCCTGTATAACTCGAGAGATCATCTCCTTGGTCACTTGGAGAATGAGGATTCCTATTCATAGTGACACATCTAACCTCGACCTTCTCAGAGGACTGAAAATAGTATGGCCATTCATCCCCAAACAAAACCTTTGTCTTCATCTAAAGATTGAGTTCATCATTGTGTCCAAATTCTCACTTATTCTAGACCCGAATGCCAGTTTTGAGGAGAGGACTTTTAAGTGTCACTGCCTTCTAAAAATGGAAAGAATGATTGTGTATAGCCTTTCCCATTGTGAGTCATATCTGATGTTATGCAGATTTTCCTTGTATTTGAAAGCAATAAATAATAAGTGGGTAGTGATTTAGATATTATGGGAATATTATATTCACAGGATTTACCATAAAAGTATTAATAGTAGAAAAGCCAAACATTGACTTGGCAGACTAGTGGAAAATAATGGAGATAGGTTATCTAAATTTATTTTTATTTGGTTTTGAATTATGTTAGATATATTTGAACTTAGATATCACTGCTATTTGGTAATTTGCTATATCAACATAATGATAATGCACCATGAAATACTGAGCATGGAGAAACAGAGATTTGAAGTTTCTCTATCCTGAACTCCAATCCTCTTTCCCCTTGCAGTTCTAATGATGCTACACAGTCAAGTTCCAATCACAGTTACCCTTTAAGACCTCTTCTTGTTACCTAAAGAAGTTCTTATACACAGTAAATGAAAGGAGTTGACATGAAGTTCTAAATAAGCAACCTAGGTGCTGGGAATTGTGGGTAAAAGCTTTTAAAAGCTGTCTGCTTGAGAAGCAAAGCCAGCCTTAATAGACCATACACTAAACTGCAAATGAGTTTTATGCTTGTGTTCCTTGATGTTTCAATTTTAGATTCCCCCAAAAAGACTGAGACTGTGTGGGTTGGGTAGATTAAGGTCACATTAGAATCATGCTTTACTAATACTGTATTTTTATTTTAGTGAAGATCGACAAGGATAAACGCCTGGTGGTACTGGATGAGGAACTTGAGGTTTGTTAAATAAGATAAAATACAGTTTTATAGTTTAGTAGTTATTACTGCTCAAAAGATACTGTATTAGTTACATGTATTTCTAAAACAAGTTCTGAATCTTCTTTCAATACATGCTCATTGTACATGAAAGAGGTATGCTAGTCATTACATAGTTCATTGTCTTGTTAATTTAACTGTCATCTTTAAAGTATTTATAAAATCCAGAGTAATAGGTAGAAGCTAGGGCTATATGCCCAGTAAAAAGTGAGTCAGCTTTATAGCCTGCTCCTAAATTTCTTGGCTAGTGATGAAAAACTAAAGCCCTGCAATTTAAATATTTAGTTTGTCAAATTGTCAAATTAATAACTAATTTAGAGTGAAAATAAATTACTTTTTTAAAAAGAAATCAAATCAGGCATTGTTTCTTCTGAGGGGGTGGCTTATCTCACTCAGTATTTCCTGACAACTGGACTATAAACATAGAATACCATGCTTGTCTTCTCAGCCCCCATGTTTAGTTAATAAATAGATCCAAACCGAATGGGACTAAGTGGGCCTTGATTGGATTGAGAGTTTAATAACCTTAGTTTATGTACAATTTAGTAAATAAAATAACAGTTTTATTTATTAAATATAAATTTTAACATTTTCTTAATTTTTTAACAGTTAATTTTTTCTTTGGTGCAGGGCATTTCACCAGATGAACTTAAAGATGAACTGCCTGAACGACAACCTCGATATCCTTTTCTTAGTGCTTTAAAAAGATGTGTTTAGTGGGAACCAGCAGTTAGCGTAAAGGCTATGTCGCTGGACTCCAACGTAGTTGACCATGGTTCGCGTCCCGGACCTGGTGGCTTAAAACTCAAGCCGGACGCGTGTGCGTGCGTGCCCAAGATCCTGAGAGGAGAATGGAGGAGAAGGGATTGCGGCGTGACCATCCCCCCTGGGGGGGTGATTTCTCGCTTTCTGTCTCTCTGTCTGGCGAGCGCATGCACCCTGTAGCGAAAACGTCTCCAAAAAAAACAAAAAATGATGTGTTTAGTGGTTGAAATTTTATTTGTGAACTCATTTGTTAAATTTTTAAAAGACATGTATTTTATCAGATGTCCTTCAGCATTTTGATCACAAGTACTTTAAAATATGTGTTTATATATTGAACTAAGAAAACTGAAGCTTTGATGTAATATTTTGATAAATTCTCTTTATTATAATATGTGTACAATAAAAATTGAGACAAATATGTGTTAAATCCATACTCATTGAATATATTTTTGAGAGATGAGTATGGATTTAACACATATTTATCTTTGGGGCCCGTTTATAATAATGGTGGCAAGATAATGAATAATGAACATGTGGGCTAAATGAATAGGATAGAAATTTGCTGCTCAGTAGCTCGCTGGGTGATGGTAAGTGCCTATCTCAGACAGCAACTTTAGTTTCTTTAACTTGAGAAAAACCTTCATTGTGTATAGTTATAAATATCAACATGATGATGGAAGGGTTTCATATCCTCTGTGCTTTATTTTCTCCAGTCCTGTTGGTAAGTAAATTTCTTTAAATAATATACATTTGGGTTTGGCCTGACTAACCACTAATCCTATTTTAGATTGTATTAGGTTGTCAAAAAAGTCATGATGCATTTTTTCATAGAAAAATACATCATGACTTGGAGCCAGGAATGTAGCAGTTTCGTTGCTGGACTCCCACATGGTCAACCACAGTTTGAGTCCCGGACCTGATGGCTTGAAACTTACGCTGGGTGCATTTGTGTGCATGCCTAAGATCCCGGGAGCAAAATGGAGGAGAAGGGATTGTGGCATGGCCATCCCTCTGGAGGGTGACTTCTCACTTTCCCTATCACTATCTCTGTGTCTCTCTCCTCTGCGAGTGCACAGACCCTAAGGCAAAAACCTCTCAAAGAAACAAACACGTCATGACTTTTCTAATGACCCACTACAAATTTTATGCTATCTTTAAAGGTGAAAAGTAGTGAATTACCTAAATTGAGAGTGTGTGTGTATGTGTGTGTCTTTCTGTCTGTCTGTGTGTACATACCTGTGTGCATTTCTAGAAAAAAGTTACTATAACAAGTCATGTTTTAGAACTTATTTATTTTCTTAGGATAAATTATTAGAAGTGTAATTGTTGGGCCAAATCATATATGTTCTAAGGATTTTGAAATGTAATGACATTTTTAAATATCAGAGGTATATTTTTTATGTATTTTAATCTTGTTTATAAGTATGTGAGCTTCATGTATAGTCATGGTATGTATTTGTGTTTATCTTTTAAGTAGTAATTACTAGTGATATGCCTATAAACTTGAGAGTAACCTACATTGGATATTAAAATAGGTTATTGGAATTTAAGGAATTCATTATCACCAGAACTCCCATTACTACTGCTTTCAAACACATAAAGAGTTTACTCATTGACTTTCTCTTTGGACTTCAATTTGTATGATTTATTTAGTGCTTAATATATACCGTAGTATATATTTAATTTAATATGTAAGTAGCCTATAACTTTTATCAGAGCAGATCTTATTGTCTTACTGGCCCATAACCATTCTAAGAAATTTTAAATGTGTCATTTTTTAAAAATAAAAATGAAAACTCATTACTTTTTTCAAAATTTACATCTCATTCTGTCTCATTTCTTTACTAATATCTTTTCCAGGATGTAAGCCTGAACAACAGATGATGTATGCTGGGAGTAAAAATAAGCTAGTCCAAACAGCTGAACTAACCAAGGTGGTATTTATATTTGACTGGCTTGTGAAGAAAATATTTTCCTTTAGAGTATAGAATTTGAGGGGTTTAGTATTTTTTTATGCAAGTGAATATGATTTAGACCAGAGCATTAAATTAGGCCAAACTTTTGTTAGTTGGAAATATCAATAGAATGTTTGAAGCCTTTCAGTTAAGGTATGTTTTATTGTTTTGTTTTAAATTGTCTAAAGGATATACATGCTCAGGAGAGAGAGAGAGAAACAGAAAAAGGGAGAGAACTACCCACCCCCCCCCATAGGGAATGGTCATTCCACAATCCCTTCTCCTTTTCTCGTTTTTCTCAAGTCATTGAGTCCAAGACTTGAACCATGTAGTCACCTGTGTGGGATCCAGCCATCTTAACCACGGTACCTCTGCTGACTCCAAAGTGTGTTTTTTGAATAAGTTGATTAGAAAAAATTACATTAAAGATGGAAGAAGTTTTAGAAAAGCCACCATAGCTATTTAACCTATTGAAAGTTCTTATCTTTCATAATGTAATCTTTAGTAGATTATGTATGGTTAGCATTGAAACTTCTCTGAGCCTTTTATCATAGTCTTAAAATGAATCCAGTTCTGTGCTGCAATTCTTTATAATGCAGTAAACTGTATTGTTTCCAAATCTGAAATCAAATTGATAAAAATACTAATAAAGCTTGAATATACTGGTTTTTTTGAGACACTTGTTTTAAGATTTAACTTGCCCCTATTGTTTTTATAGTATTTTCAAAGGTTAAACTCTTGAACTTTATTTAATTTTCACATACTGAGTTTTTTTTTTTAAGCATATACATTTAAGATTTTGAAACAGAATATTCTGTTACTAAAACTGTACTTTACTACTAGTTTTTGTTTGCTACCTCTTTGTAGTAAACAAATATTTTCTTTCAGGTTTTAAAGACAGTGTCAATGATTCCCCTCTGGTGCTCAGTCATCGCTTTAGGGATTTGTTTTTTGTGTTTTTTTTTTGTTTGTTTTTTGTTTTTTGTTTTGTTTTTGGAGAGGTTTTTGCATGTGTTTGCCAGAGAGACAGAGACAGACAGATAAAAAGCGAGAAATCACCCCCCCCAAGGGGGATGGCCATGCTGCAGTCCCTTTTCCTCTCCAGATCTTGGGCACGCACGCGCATGCACCTGGCGTGAGTTTAAGCCACTGGGTCCGGGACTTGAACCACAGTTGACTACATGGGAGTTCAGCGACATAGCCATTATGCTAACTGCTGGTCCTTAAGGGAATGTTTTTAAGTGATCCATGTTCATTTCCCTTAGCCCATATGATTGTCATTGGTATCACTAATTTATAGACACCACATTTTCCTAATGCATAATACAGGAACAGCCTAGAGTTGCTTTAAAGGGTTGGATGGTCAAGAAGGATCTGTTGGGACCAGCAGTTAGTGTAATGGCTATGTCACTGGACTCCCATGTAGTCTACCGCGGTTCGTGTCCTGGACCCGGTGGCTTAAACTCAAGGCGGGGGCGTGTGCGTGCGTGCCTAAGATCCTGAGAGGAGAATGGAGGAGAAGGGATTGCAGCGTGGCCATCCTCCCTGGGGGGTGATTTCTTGCTTTCTATCTCTCTGTCTTTCTGGCGAGCGCACGTGCCCTATAGCGAAAAACCTCTCCAAAAAAAGAAGGATCTGTTAATAACTTTAGGCCTGTTGCTTCAAAGTGCTGGAGATGAGAGACCTTACACAAATTTATAGGTTAGTTTTACAAATGTTCCCATTGAATACTTGAACAACTTTGTGAGGTTGATGGTGGTATTCCCATTCAGAAAGTTAAAAAAATCAGGTTCAGAGGATGAATGGCTTGCCCCCAGGCTGCGTAAGAGTAAGTGATAAAACTAGGATTCAAACTCATATTTGGCACCATCCTTTCTGCTGTGATATACGTTATCTCTCTATTGCCATTATACCTCTAGTCCTCTGTTAATTCCGCTCTTAGCTCTTGCTAGAGATTAGTGGCTGTGAACCTCTAACCTTAGCAAAGCTATTGATAGCTGCTATTTCCATTTGAGGTTCAAACTATGGAGGACCAGCATATATTCCTCTGGTTCCTAGCTAGGCTGCTTGTAGTTGTATATACTTAAGTGTCTCTCTTAGTGGATAATATTTACAGAACTCTTTTAGAAAATCTGTAGATCTGTGCTTTTAAGAGAGTTTTGATTTTATGCCACCTTGGTTGTTACACTTTGGTAACTGAATACTTAGCATCCAAAAGAAGTAAAGTCCTGGCCCAGCCATGGTGGTGTGCCCTGCTAAGCCACTGTGCTCTGTAGGCTGGTGTCTGGTGTCCCAGGATTGGTTCTTGGTCCACCCTGAAGCCCATGCATGGTGAAGTGGGCCTATGATCTCAGTAACTCAGAGAGGCTGAGGCAGGAGGATCACGACAGTGAGACTGTGTCTAAAAAAAGAGAAGTAAATTGCTACTTAAAAAGTATATATGCAGGTTAAGTCTTGACCAGTATGAAAGAAAGCAGAATTTGGTATTTAATCTCAAATAGTTGATGTGTTTGCTTTTTCTTTCTAAGAATGGCAGCGTATTAACTAATTTTTTTCCCCTAAGGTGTTTGAAATAAGAAATACTGAAGACCTGACTGAAGAATGGTTACGTGAGAAGCTTGGATTTTTCCACTAATGTGAACTTCCGTGTTTCTGAAGTATTTATGTATTAACCTGACCATACTGGAACCAGACATAAATACTTATTTATGCCTAAAATGCACTGTTACTTACAGTTTGTTTCCTGCAGTAAAGAAAAATTCTTCATTTGTGCAAAGTTTGAACAAAGAGGAAATCATCATCATAGTAATGAAACTTTGTCAAGTGTTTCCTTATATTCGTAATTGTTAGGTGGACTACTTTTCTCCAGGGACTTTTTGCACTCTCGTGACTAATTTCGATAATTTATGGTTCAGAATTTGTTACTATTTACAGACACCATTGGAAAGTGGGTATTAGATTGGAATAGACAACAGTTGCCTCCTTTTGACAAATACTGGATATTAGCAGTCTATATCTGAAAGTAGCACTCAGTCAGATCATTGAAATTAATTTGAGGTTAAAGACTTGAGTGACCCAGTTTTGAGCCATGAATAATAATTTACTGTGGTGTAAACTGCATTACAGGTATACTTTCCATCAAGTCCGTACCTCCTTTGGTTTTCTGTATCTTTTGAATCTGGTCTAGAAACTGTTCATCAATCACTCATTCTTAAGGTTTAGGAGTTAGACCTTATGATAGAACTATGATTATTAGGTTTTCTCTTATGGAAAATAGCATCTTAGTCTTAGAAATTGGTGGGTTGTACTAATCAAGGGCTTCATTCCTGGTTATGTCATTTCTAGGTAGTTTTGAATCTAGGTTAATAACACTTTATTTATTAAGTACTTCCTAATGTCCTGTGAACACTAATTATTTTAAATGTGTTAATACTGTGCCTTTGATTTGTTAGCTTTAAAGTTAGTTTAAAACTTTTACACTGCCAGTATTCCAGATTTGTTGAAATTAATACTTTTTTAAAGGGTCCAGGTAAAACAATTTTCTAATGTGTGTATCTAAAATTTGTAATAAAATCAAGTTCATATTTTTAAAATTCCAACTATCTGCTTGCATTGGTAAATATATGGCAGTTGAGAGTTATAATATTGGGTATGTCTGTGATTCATTTTTATGCCATAGGGAAAAATTGCTTATCTTAGAATGTTGGCCATAATTAATAATAGTAGTTTATCAGTAGAAATTACATCTTATCTCCTAGATGTCAGAAGATAGTCTAAGCTGGACACCTGAGTAGTTAACTAAACCAGTCTTGTTAGATGATGGCATGTTTGATATAAAGCGAGTATTCTAATTATAACTTACTTTAAGAAGAAATATGTAAGTAACTATTTAGCATTAATTTTAAAAGATGTACTCTAGAGCCTAACCAAATTCGGTGAGTAAATTCTTATATTAAGAATATCTTAGTCACTTCAAAACTAACAAGGGCATTTTTTTGTCGGCATATTTTCTATTCATATGTTCTTTGGATTTTATTTTTGGGTTTCTGTGCCAGCTTGAATGAAGACATAAAGATAGTTGGAATTTTCACAATATTGAATGGAACATTTTCTGTTCCTAACACCGCTGGGCTCCACTAATCTAGAAGTCAGGAAGCAATAGGAAGTTGTTGGAGATGAGGAAGCACTAAAATGGGTAATTTGGTTAATGAATGGAAAGGAGTCTTTATTCCTATTTCTGGATACAGAAAATTTTATCTAGGAAATGTAAGAATTCTTTAGATATTTTGATATGGTGAAATAACTTGTTTATAATTCTGCAGAAATGCAATTGTGTAATTCAAGTGAGTGGAGAGTGTTTAATGTTACTGAATGAAGGAAATGAGATTTAATTTGACTTGTTTGCAGCAATAAGAGAAACTTAACTAGTGCTGCAAGAATGTATTTTTAATGAGGTTCCTTATTTTGTCTTGCATGTTTTAGTTTAGTTTTGTTTTGTTTTTTAAAAATTCAAAAGTCCTTCATAATGTCAGAAAATATTGACCTGCCATACACAGACTCTTAGTTCCCCTATTGTCTAACAGGAACAAAAGAGCAGTGATGAGGAATCAGACAAACTCAAAAAAGCAGGCCTTATCAGTAACACCTATTTTGCAAGACAACAGATTGGGGTTAGGGGATCAGTAGAACATTTTTTATTCTATCTGTCCTATAGGGAAATTTACAAATTCTGTGATCTAAAGTATTCTCAAACATTTTTAAATATTTCCTTTTCACCTGATTAAATTTTGTATTTTTTTAAAGTACATTTCCTAATTAGTCTCTTTTCCTGCCTTCCTTCAAGTAGTCTCTTTTCCTGCCTTCCTTCAAATAGTAAATCCAGATTTCATAATTCCAGTTTTTACATTCCATGTATTTTTAGTACATCCATTCCCATTCAGCCTTATATCTCAGTCTTCCCTTTTTGGCAGCAACTTTTTTCCTGGGAACCTCCTTCATGGTCTTCTAAGTCAGCATTAGTTTTGAAACTGTTGGCTTTGCCTAAGTTCTGCATAGCATCTAATATTCACAATAGAACCAACTGGTAAAGTTCACATATGTATTTAGTATGGGTTTTGTGGCAACATAAATGACATGAAGAAAACTGTTCTCAGGTTACTATGCTGAAATTCCAAAATGTCTCGGTTTTGAATAATATTTACTTTGTTCTGGTATTGAAGCAATTATGTTAGGAAAAAAGTTGGTTGACTGTTTTGTTTAATTGACTTCTAAAATGTTTGAAATGTCTATTTCTAAAAAGTTCACTAAATGCCTAGTGCAGTTAAACATACTCTTGTTTAAGAGGGTGTTGCTAAATTTTTTATTGTCTTTACTAAATAATCTGTGTGGCAAAATGTCTGTTGGCACTTTCCTTCCCCCTTTATCTCCTATTTTCAGGAGTCAATTGTAGCCATAAACTGTATCCTGATCTGACACTTTAAAAATTTCCAGTTCGGGGAGTTTATTGCCAAATTGAATTTGGCTGTTTTTTTTCTCCCACCCATATAGATATTAGGAAAATGTATTTTAAAAATGTTTGGACTACTTTGAAAACTCAAACGGTGTCATTAATCCATATGTGGGCTAGTGACAGATATTTTCATAAGGGTTTAAATGCTGATATCTGGTGGAAGTAGAGAGTAGCTTGTATTCTGTCAATTCAAGTCGTCTTGGTATGGTTGCTTTCCCTGTTTGTTCAGTAAACTGATAATACTGGAATCTGTAGAGTTTGAGCCTTTATAACTTATGTGAAGAAGTGCTACAAAGATTTCTGGACAAATCTTATTTTGTATTTCTGGAAGAATGTAAATAATCTCCTAGGCCACTTAAAATCAATGGTCCCAAGCTGAACATTCTCAAGAAATATGTTTCCTTTTATTCCATTTAACATTTCAAATCATTGAACATATACCTGTGTTGTGTAAAGCAACTACATTAAGCTCGTGATAGAAACTGTATTTTCTTGTTTTTTTTTTTTTTTTTTTTTTTTTTTTTTTTTTTTTTTTTTTTTTTTTTTAATATAAGTCGTATACATACAATTACTTGAATATTGTTTGAGATCACTAACATGCCAGGGCAGTTCCCACTGATTAAGATGGTCCAATAGAATCTCATTCAGGAGGCTTGAAACATTAATGGTTTAGTCTTGTGAATTTTAACAGTTCTCTGTCATCGTTCAGCAAAACCAACTGGCACAACTTCTTAAGCTGTGGTTTCAGTCTCTGCTAGTTCATATTGCATGTTTATTTTGGACAGTCTTTTGTTAAGCATGGTGCTTGTACTGGTTTAAATAAAATGTTAACTTGAAAAGACTTCAAGCTTTTTATTTTTACTCGCCTTTCCCCCATTTTGGAGTTACTGATACCTGCCTGGCTCACTTTGGGTGAACCTCATGCTGATTCAGGAGTTTACTTTACTGGAAGGCAAAATAAATGATCATTTGGCAATTTGAAGGGAGAATATAATGAGATTATAAAAATTTCTAAAACTCAGCTTGATGTTGAAATGATTTGTGTTAGGGGCAGAGGGAGTTATTTCAAGTGACAAACCCCTGCTTTCAAGGGTAGAATTGTAGAAGTTAGGAGGCTGTGTACTTTGTGAGACATCAAATTAAAGGTTCTTTAATTGAATATAGTTTTTTACTATTAAATATCAATTGACTCTGCCTTTGTTACAGATTGTGCTACATGGTATGTTTAATAGGTTTCTGTTGAATGACTGCAAATTGCTAATACATAGTTTTTAGAGTTTACCATTTACTTCTGTATGTAGCAATAGTCTCAGTTTGATATGATTGTGAAAGGAGTATGCTTTCTTTAAGAATCTCACAAGGAGAGCCAGCCCACGGCCTACTGGTTTGGGGAGCCGTGTCTCATATAGCTGACCATGGTTCGAATCCCAGCCCCAGCAACTTGAAAAACACTGGGTGTGTGCTTGTGTGTGCATGCCCACTCCCAGAACCATGACAGGATGGAGACTAGATTGCAGCATGACCATGCCTCGTTGAGTGCATTCCTCCTTTATCCCTAGCAGAGTGCACATGCCCTCTGGCAATGAAAACGTAATGAAGGGGAGCCAGCAGGTGGCATAGTGGTTAAGACAGTTGGATCCCACTTGGCTGTGCAGTAGAGTCTCAGACCTAGCAGCCTGAAAAACGTGCCAGAGACACATGTGGTTGTGTGCCCAAGATTCCAAGAGGAGAATGGAGGAGCGGGGATTATAGCATAGAGGGGAGGGGAGCTTGATTTCTCACTTTCTGTCTGTCTTCAGTGAGTGCAGGCATTTTGGCAAAAAATACAAATTAATAAAGGGAAGGGGGCAGCTCTGTGACCTAGTGGTTAAGTTAGCCGAATCCCACATGGCCAATTCTGTGGTTTGATTACCGGACCCTGGAACTTGAGAGACACACAAGACGCATGTGCTTGTGTGCCCCAAATCTTGGATAGGAAAAAGAAATGAAGAGATCGCATGACCATCTCCCATGAGGGGTGCTTTCTCCTTTCCCTCTTTCTCTGTCTTCCTCTCTATGTACCCTGTAGAGAAACAAATCAAAACAACTCACAAGGAGAATTGACCAAAGCATGGAATCATATCTTCCCCATTTCTTAAGTTTTGGCCACTCAGCTACTCAAACAGCCAGCTCCTACAATTTTTCACCTTCATTAAAAAAATCTTGATGGTCTTTTTGTCCTTTTCAATAACAAAAAGCATACATACTTAACCTCACAGCATGAACCCACTCTCATTGGCATGAAGGTACACCCTGAATGGATATTGTGCCCTTGTGGAGTCTATTTTTAGCTGTTAAGCAAATTAAAGATTTTACTGCTAAACATGGAGTTTTCACACAGACAGTTCTCTAACTCTCTGCTTGTGATTTGCTCCTTAACTATGTGAATACTCCCTGCTGAGGTACCCTCTTTAAATTGCAGGGAGGAAAAAAGCCTAATGCCTAGGTTGCATCCAAAAGCTACCCTGCAAACCAGATGAAACTGGGAGGTGGTGGAGGGAGTTGTGTGTGTGACTGCTGAATACACTATTAACTACACAATTAAGAATAGGTTTTGGCCCATTTCTTACTTGTACTGGATAGTTGTCTTAATCTGTTTTGTGCTGCTGTAACAGAATGGCTGAGACTGGATAGTTTATAATGGACACACATTTATTTTTCATGGTTCTGGAGGCTGGGAAGACCAAGATGAAGGGGCAGGTGTCTACCGAGAGCCAGCCTTCTCATTGCATCCTCACATGGTAGAAGGTGGAGAGAGGTGAACTCACAATCACTTTTTATATCCATGTTAGTCCATCCATGAGGGCTCTGCCTATATGGCCCTGTCTCTTCATATTGGAGATTAACTTTCTAACATATGAATTTTGGGGGACACATTTAGGCCATAGCAACAGCCAAGCCCAAATATGCCCAGCCTTTATATTTGGGTGGAAATGCCCCCCACCACTGCTCCTTGCTGCATCTGCCTGTTCCCAGTCTCGCTTCCCACCCTCAATACACATAGAATTCTTGCTTTCAGCCCCAGTTTTTTTTTTTTTTTTTTTTTTAAGGGTTTTTTCTAAGGGCTCGGGCGCTTCCGGTTTTTGCTAAGGGCTCGGTCGCTTGCCAGACAGAGAGACAAAAAGCGAGAAATCACCCCCCAAGGGGGAGAGATGGCCATGCCGCAATCCCTTCTCTTCCATTCTCCTCTCGGGATCTTGGGCACGCACGCATACACGCCCAGCGTGAGTTTTAAGCCACCGGGTCTGGGACTCGAACCGCAGTCAACTACGTGGGAGTCCAGCAACATAGTCATTACGCTAACTGCTGGTCCCTCAGCCGTGTTTGTTGAACCCAGGATCTGCCAACATTTTATGTTGCCCAACTGAGACAAAGGAATGAGATGGGTCAATCAGTTTCCCAACTGAAAAGTAATTTTTAGTTCAATTTCTGCCACTGGGGAAATGATCTCATTCTCTTGAATGTGGCAGTTAGCAGTGGGAACTGAACTTGAAAAAATGCCATCAGGTGGAGAAGAGGCCAAGTGCAACCTATAGAGGAGAGGAAAAGGAGATATGAGCAGAGGCAGTTCAGAACAGAGCAGGCATACAGAAAGCAGTGGAATCATATTTATGATGGAGCCCCAAACTGAGGAGCCATACTCCTACCTCTTAGGTTTCTAGATTCTTTTTTTTTTTTTTTGGAGAGGTTTTCGCTATAGGGCGCATGCGCTCGCCAGACAGAGACAGAGAGACAGAAAGTGAGAAATCACCACCCAGGAGGGATGGTCACACCACAATCCCTTCTCCTCCATTCTCCTCTCAGGATCTTGGGCACGCATGCACACGCGCCTGGCGTGAGTTTTAAGCCACCAGGTCCGGGACGTGAACCGCGGTCGACTACATGGGAGTCCAGCGACATAGCCATTACGCTAACTGCTGGTTCCCAGGTTTCTAGATTCTTGTTTGATTCAGGATTACCCTTCAGGGTATGCTCTCTCTAAGGCTTGATTGATCAGCTGTTTCCAGGTTCCTCTGCATGTCTATCCTTCTAGAATCTAATGAAGTTAGCATGGCATATCTGTTTGCATGCAAAAGAACCTAAGTGCAATCCTATGTCTGGTTTCATAGGACACTGCTCCCTCCATTTATACTAACTCCAGCCTAATTGAGCAACTTTCTCTTACACAAACATTCCCTGGACCTAATCGTCTTCCACCTAACAGAAACACTTCCTCCTCATGCTGCTGCCTGCCAAAATCAACAACCTTCAAAAATAATCTCAAATATCATTTACAGCATGAAGTCCGTTGTTTGTTGAACTAAAAATAGGAACTTATTTTAACTACCCAGCTTTTATTAAACAACTAATATCATTAGAGAAAAAACACAAAATATAAATAAGCAAAGGAAAAAAAAATTCCACCACTCAGAGTTTGTATCTTTCCTTGTCTCTGGAGGAATTCTGTGACCCCCATAGCTTTTCTGGAATTATGCTAATTTTTTTACTGTAGTACAAATTATAGTTTAGTCTAATGTCAAAACATTAATATCTTATACTTTCTTTGAGGCTTTCTCCCTCACCATTCCCTCTCCTACATACCACCTCCTTCAAGTATGCTTCATGTTGGGAAATGTAAACTGCAAAAGGGGATGTGGTCTCTTCCTCATTATTGCTTTGCCTTGCTCCCCCATTACTAGTTGTCTCTGGTCCCTTTGGGAATAGGGGAATGGCAATGCAAGGGAGTAAAAAAAGACATTAGCTGGTGCAGATGTCATCTGGAGTTGACATCCTCTGTGGTCAATGTCAAATACCAACTCTTCTTCTATGGGGTGCTTTTGTGGGTTCCTTGGTAATTTCCCCACTAGGAGCATTGGTCACCTGTTCCTTGAGTTGGATCATGTCTCCTCTGGCTAGTGGCTTTATAAGTGCCCCTCTCAGTTCTTGGCTTTTAGTGGTTGTCTCTTTCTGATGGTCACAGATTTTTATTTTTTCATTATTTTTTCTTTTTTTTTTTTTTTTTTTGGTCTTGGCTTCTATAGGCTAAGGGTTTTTTTTTTTTTAGCGTCTTTTTTTTTTTTTTTTTTTTTGAGAGGTTTTTGCCATAGGGTATGTGTGCTTGCCAGACAGACAGAGAGAGACAGAGAGACAGAAAGTGAGAAATCACCCCCCGGGGGAATGGCCACGACGCAATCCCTTCTCCTCCATTCTCCTTTTGGGATCTTGGGCACACACGCACATGCGCCTGGTATGTGTTTAAGCCACTGGGTCTGAGACTCGAACTGCAGTCGACTACATGGGAGTCCAGTGACATAGCCATTATGCTAACTGCTGGTCCCCTAGGCTAGCATCTTGACCAGTCCTTGGTCCAGTCCTTCTTCAGTGTCTTAATCTATTCATGGTGCTATAGTAAACTTCCTTAAACTGGGCAATTTATAGTTCACAGTTCTGGAGGCTGGGAAGTCCAAGATAAAGGCATTTGAAGATTTGGTGTCTTGAGGGCCTGTTTCTCATAGATGGAACTTTCTATGTCCTCACATGATGGAAGGGGAAAATTGACTCCTTCAAGCCTCTTTTTATAAAGGTACTAATATCATCCACAGGAGCAAAAACCTCAGGACCTAGTCACCTCTCTGATGCCTCATCTTCAAATATACTGCACTGGGGAATAACTTCCAACATATGAACTTAGTGTGTGGGGGGAACACAAACATTCAGACCATAGCATTTCATCCCTAGACCCCACATTCATGTCTTTCTCACATTCAAAATACATTCATTTCATCCTAATAGCCCCCCAAATCTGAACTCAGTCTAGCATCA